AGAAGCGAATGGAAATTGTGCTGCGGAACCCACTACGAAATGAAAACTCAAAAGAATTGATCACGAAACTCGTTTTTAAACGTTCCGAGGGGACAGTTGCAGACATAAAACATATTTCATGTGCAGAATTTTATGATTTAATAAACATAATATGATCAGCTTAAAGAGAATGATTCGAGAAAACGATACTATATCTCGCCAAACCAGTCTACAGTAACTCTTGAGAGCGTTTGAAAACCAGAATGGAATAGAAAACCTTGGATAATGAAGAAGTGAAAGTCGATGGATCGATAGCTGTTAGTTTTCACATTTCTGAAGATATTGCTCTTAAAACATCAAGCATTAGCCAGACGAAACAAATGTTGGAAGATTTTGATAGCGCTTTTGGAAAAAACGATGTTCAAGAGAAAGGGATTCGTTTAGCACGCCGTAATCACGCATAAAACTGGCATCTAGCCCGAGAAGCTAATAAGATAAATGACTATGACTTAACTCCACAATTGAGCAAGATGGAATGAGAGGCTTAGTGAGCTTATAGTAACATTAAAGACGTCGGTAAAAGAGCAAGACAACAGAAATCCAATTTTGCGTCCATATTCTCGACTCTGACGGCGCAGACCTCAAAAGCTTGGATGTCACTGCAGGAATGCAGTACACCGACCTACTTCGCTGATCAAAGACCAGAGACGTGTTTAGTATGCTGGGTCGAAGACATGGTGTGTTAATGGCAATCGCTGGGAAACAGCAATTAGTGAATGGTTCCCACGAGACATCAAGAAGCACCAGAAAGACCACAATCTTTATGTGCAAATTTCCTTTTCAAGATCTTGAAAACACATAAGTTTCTAAGATGAGTGCGATCTCCTGGCACAGTCTTGCAGACGACAAAGACTAATGAGAACCAACTGTGACCGCCTGGAGTCACTCTCGACGATCAACAAGAGGACAGGTGATGCAGATGATTTTATGAACTCCGTTGAAAGCCGTTGATTGTCAAATTATCATGGAAAAAATCTGTTCACGTCAATAGTGCCAAGAATAGAGGGTTTTTTTTTTGGCATACGAAGCAAGGAAGGTCGAATTATCTGTACCATCAAATACGTCAAGCCATTCTACCAACACTCGGAAAGCTTTAAATTAAGAAAACAGCTCAGTGATGGTGGCTTAGAAAGATAACCTTCTTATATTCTCAAGACTTGTGTTTAGCGCGATATTCAGAGTAGGAAAACGAAACACAAATAAACAAACGTGTAAATCAACAATACACATGAAAAGAGTACTTCCATCCTAGACATTTTGTAGAAGAGCACAATCTCAACCATAAAAGAAAAACAGAAGTGAACGGCACCCATTTGTCTACACGAAGCCAACACGAGGAATACGGTTTCCTTTGCAGCTTTTCATGTAACCGAAGCTAAGCAGATTTTTCTCAATCGCTGTAGATAACTAGGTATTTTCCTATTTAATAACTAAAATACAAAATTGAAATGATTTAAACACACGAATTATACAACTCTTAAAGTGTCCATATTTTGCCTACTCAAATCTATTTGTATACAGTCGCCGAAAACAACTTAAACTACTTTAGTTATCGCCCATGTATTACTCTGTGCGGCTGCTATCCATCAATTAACTTAAATACTTACAACAAATAAACGGCTCTGAAGAAGGCGAAACCGCCGAAACATCAGCTATTGTATCCTAATAAATCCTATAATAACTCCTATAATAACAACTTCGTGTCTGCTTATTGAAGAAAAACATCGATTTATCAAAGCGATAACAGTTCTGGGTGAGATACTTTTTTCATTCCATGACAAAAAACCACGCAGAATAGCCGTCCTCGACTCTTAAAAAGCCTAAACCCTTTGTATGCCGGCCTGGTAACTACAATAATCCCTTTACTCGAGACAAATAGTGCCTGACATTAAGACATGGCAACGTCGCTCCTATAACCCAAACACACTTCCAATTCCTCACTACCCTGGTTATCGAAAAATTAAGGGTAGTTATTGAGAAACCAGTGATGTCATTAAAAAAACGACAGACCATTTAAAAAAACATAAAAACTTTGTAGAAACTTCTAAAGCCTTTTTTTTGGAAAAATGCCACCAAAAGAAACGTTAGTCATAAAAAGAGAAAAAAAACAAGAAACAATCGAAGGCGAAGACATATATGTGACTGATAAGAACTAACTATTGTAAGTACTAAATAAATTAAGGGCACTGTAAAAGCGCAGTAGTTAGAGAATTCGTGAAATCGATGAGTGGTCGCTAGTTAGACCCCGCACCAGCGGGCCAAAAAAAACCCACATCACCCTGTGGTTAGCAAATTGATATGATAGTAAGGTGGAAGGAAAATCGGATTGGAGAAAGGTAAAGCAAAGGACTCAGTGGTACAGTGTGTGACATGTGAGCCTCCGGAAAGGGTAATCGTGGGTGCGATTTGGCCTGGCGTCTAAGTTTTGCGAATATCTCAGCCTAATAGCGATACTACAGTTGTTTCAAAGAAGCTATCCCTCCGATTCACAAGGGTACGTGGTGAAGATTTTGGAACACTCTCGAAGAAGTAACCCAGGATTCTAGAGCAGGTCCACTTCAATCAGTATTCAACGGCAGTTTTGAACACAAAATCCTCAAGTGGCAGCTGAATCCACAAACAAATTCGAAGACCTTGGCGTATATCTGAGGAAGATCAGTGACTGCAATGAAAGAAGTGTAAGGATCCTTATAACACATGAAGATGGGTCATTTGCATAGATACATATTAAATAACGAATAAATTCTAGAGAAGAACAACACGTTCAGCCACCTCAACCGCTGAGGTGGAAGTATTGTCGGCCATTTGAAGGCCTAAGATAGGCCTGTGTCCACAGCCACATTAGTACATTAGAGCTTTTCAGTCGCTGCGAATGGAACAGAATTCACGTGACAGCTAACTGAAGATACTCTGGACTGTGGGCCCACATGCTCATACATTCGAATAAACCTAAGACAGAAACTTGAAATATTCAAGAAAAACCAACATATTTCATTAGACTGCTGAGCTTACACGAGTCTATAACCAAATCGTATGCGTCCAACATCTTACATCTTTTAATGTGAGCCGAGCAAAAGTTTGCTAAGAACCTCGTACAAGCTGTGCACCCTAAGGAAATATATTGATTATTCGTGCGGAGGATAACTGAGTATCGGTTTGGAAGAGTATTCAAGAGAAAGTTCGAATCTCGTTGGTAGATGTTACCAACCAACAAAGGGAAAACAGTGTTCACCTGTATCATGTACAGCTGTGCAATGCGATACTCCTCCACGGTCATCGGAAGAACGATACGGTACTCTTTGACGAGCATTGTGGAAGAAGTTCAGGAATATGGAGTTCACCCGGACGAGGTCCGTCAACTTCTTCGCGTCACGACATGCCAAAGCCCTCGGCTGACCGGGACGGCTCGAGGCCCATTTCTGCGCCTGCGCCATCGTCGATAGTGCCCCGCCCACTCCCGTGGAACCGCGCCGCGTCGTCAATCAGCAGTACAACAACAGCCGTGACAAGCAATACAGGTGGTTCGGCCTGAACGTCGAATGATTCGAGGACTGGTGGGAGCACTTGTGTGAGTTCCGAAAGTCATCAAGGCAGAGATTTCCGTGCAGAGAACTCAGACAACGCAAGCTTCAAGAGTGTTGAAAGTTGAGGTGCGACAATGGCGCTCCATGGCTAACATGTTGAACGGAAGACACTTCAAGAACCCAGTGCTTTCAACAGTTGTTAGGTACACTCTTTCTCCTTACACTCGATTTCTCTGTACATTGAGTGTTGTATGTCCTTGAACACAGCTTTGAAAACTCTAACATATAGCAACTTATAAGAGAAACTTGATTAATTACGTTTAGAAGAGCGTAAATGGTAATGGCTACTGCGATAGCAGATCTAGGCTCATCCGAGGTTCGACCTGACTCTCCCATCACTGCCGGTGCTGGTCCTATAGAAATGAACGTTGACGATTTAGATAAGTGCGTTTTCTTCTTTCATTTATAACTGATACTCAAATGCTTTTGTCCGTTCTCTATTGTGCCCGGAAATCGCGTTACATTGGATAATTTGGTTTCCCGCTTTCACGAAGAGTCGTGTGTACAAGAATGCAATTGGTTCCCTTGATACTTGCCGATTGAGTAGGACTGTTTCCATGTAGTCTTGAGAGAAGCATTGCAACGTCTTCCCAGTTATGATCTCAGGTAGTTGCCAGCCCGTTACATCGAAGGAGACTTGCCGTTCAGCGGCCGGGTTTCTGCCTGGAGGCGGCGATTTCGGCAAAAGCAAATTGGAAACTCTTACTCGTAGATGGGTATCTGCATGGAAATGAAGAAAATCTACGTTAGGAAAGCGTAGAATTAGTTGGTATCTTCTTATATAACTGTCAATTCAGTTGTCAGGAGGTACAAACAACCGTATTGCCGAGTTTTCTCAATTTCGCTTGTGCTCTACCAGTTTTGAGCATTACGTTGTTTGCTTCTTTTTTATTGATTTTTGAAGCCGATTGAGGAATCCCTTTGTTTCAGCTATGATATTTTCATTTTAATGGTCTTCATTCCGCTTTTAAAATACATTTTCTACAGCAATATTCGTCTCTTCTATTGTGGTTTTCTATTTGTAAGCATTACAAATGTTGGTATAACGGCGAAGTTTGGAAGAGAAAATCTGGAGTTGAATTACCATCCAGGTCAAAACTGAGGGATTTTTTACTCTTTTGTTATTTCTTACATGCAAAGTCGAAAGTAGAAGCGGGTCACAACGTTTCTCCTGCTCTTCATCTTTCAAAATTTTTGTTTTTTGGTTTCTGATAGTTCGTACCCTTAGTTCAAGCATTTCGAACGTTTCACTGCACCTGTTCGTACACCGCGAAAGCTCACGATAACGGTCTTCAGTACACTGTGTCCCTGGTGAAATATCAAAACTAAGGCACTATTGTAATATAGCCCTTTATTATCATTTGGTGTGAACTTTTCATGGACAGGTTTGTCGGTAACTCATTAGGATGTTTCGTTGTACTGCCATAGCATCGTTTCAGAACGAAGAGCTTCTGATGACGTACTTACAGGCATATTGAGACGTTGATGAAGTGTGAGCTGATCTCCGAGCAAGATGTGAAGTCTTTGTGCGCAAAAGCTCGAGAAATTCTAGTTCAAGAAGGAAACGTACAAGTCATAGATTCTCCAGTTACGGTTGGTAGTTCTGTCGTTTTCCAATTAGTAAGTAGGCTTACTTAGTGCTATTTTTGCTTTATAGATATGTGGCGATATCCACGGACAATTTTATGACCTAATGGAGTTGTTTAAGGTGGTTTACTTGTTCTCGTTAGAAGTCTAATCTCAGGTCTATCGGAGCCTTTGAGATTATTGTTTAAGGTTGGTGGGCAGATACCGGATACGAATTATCTTTTCCTTGGAGATTTCGTCGATCGCGGTTTCTACTCAGTCGAGACGTTTCTTTTACTTCTCGCACTAAAAGTTCGATATCCAGATCGAATGATGCTCATTAGAGGGAACCACGAAAGTCGTCAAATCACACAGGTTTTATATCTTTCCAAAACGATTTTCGACAAAATGTTTTTTCGTATTCATGTGCACTATGTGGATTTATAACCGTGCAATACACATAGGATCGATCCCCGCACTCCAGACTCACCAAGCTCTCCATCCCTCGGGGGTCGGAAAATTGGTACCAGTATTGTCTAGGAGGATAGCAACACTGGCTCGATACATCGGTAGGCTACCGCGAGTCATTGTAAAGGCCAAATATGCATCCACTCACCTCCAAACGATGCTTAGTGAAGTCGAATGTATGGCGCATCCATCAACGATTGCTCGACGCCGAGAGCTTTATCTTTTATACTTTTTTTTTATTAAACATAAGTTTGTAGACGAGTGTTATATATGTTTCTTCGCACATAGGGGAAGATGTGCACTTGTTTCAAAGGTGAATAATGAAGTAATAATATAATGGCGCTTTCAAATTTAAACATATAAATTTCTCATGATACCAATATCGTTTTGTGGATCTGATTGAGAACTAGTATTCTATTGTAGTATCCCTATTCCACAGTTTTTTTTCCAACACCTTTCTTCCACCAACCACAATAGTACCTTGATTTTCTGGAGATCCTTTTTCCGCTTTCATCAATCAAAACTGCTATTTCAAGCATTGGACTAATTAAACCATTGAGCGTTTTTAGAACAAGACGCGATGGTATTCTTCCATACAGCGTTGCTGTTTGCGATTGAAGTGTCTATGTTCGAAACTTTAAAAATTCAAATTTTACACTTGTAAATTTGGATCCTAAGCAGTTGATAAATGGAATAATTTATAGAAACTTATACAGCTTTAAGCTGAAAAAGCAAAGTTTTTGTACAAATTTGCCAAATTCTAAGTTCCTGAACTCCTCTGATTGCGGAACAATTATCCGTAATTATCGAAGAACCTACTGTATACTTTGTGCATCAAACATATTTTTCGAAGGTAGATATTAGCAGAGGGCAGTGTTTTTGTTAAATTCGTTGACTTGTTGCACCCAAATTTTGCACCATGTCATATCTCTTCCATGGGAAACTGACTAGTAACTTGCTATAATTTTTTGTTTAAGCTTAACTCATAGAATTTTACCCTTCCATTGAATGAAAGTTTCTAGTTTACGAGTTAATGTTATATTATTTGTATAACTGGGTTACTAAAGTTGTTTGAGTTCTACTTTTAGTAGCTTATCGACACTTGGGTTTAAAACTACGTCTTGTGTTTTGCCTAAGAAAATTTTTCTGTTAGGGTTAGCCGTAATTCTGTGAAGTAACCCTAGTGTATGAACCAACCAACCTAGCCATGATACTGAGATATTTGAAAAACTCCGGACCGCTGGTGCCTGCTGTGGGGCCGAACACGCTATCACCCTTTCTGTGGGCTAACGCCTTCATCGCCATACCATGTGATTCCTTCGTATTGCCTTTTTCTCAGCCATGTTATTGACCTATAAGTGCTATCAGCAATTACCCGTCAACGGGATTGATCTAGGGAGCACAAATCGGCATGAAACCCAGCTGAAGCTTTGGCACAATTCACAACGTCGTCAATGTTTGCTTACTGCCTACTATTTTTGTGTGAAGTAATTTGAAGGATTGTGGCTACTGATAAGTAGGATAAGCACTATTTTTCCTCTCCTTATCAATTTTGTGAAAACCGCATTTTTTTTGTTTACTTTATGTTAGATATATGCGCTTAACATAGATTTTATCCGTAGAGAATGGCGAACGTATAAAGTGAAACGTCTCCAGTTCCATATCTGTTATCATTCAGTTTTAATTTGCGGTTTGAAATTTACCGGACCTTCCACTGCATGACATACTGTTACCTTAACACTTTTAAGGTGTACGGATTTTATGATGAATGTTTACGAAAGTATGGTAGTGTGGCGGTGTGGAAGGCCTGCACCGAAGTGTTTGACTACCTTTCCCTGTCTGCTGTTATAGATGGCAAGGTGTCTGTTATAGTTTATCATTTTTAACGGCCAACTTATCTAAATATTTTCGTACCATCGTTAAAGTCTTAATCCTCTTTTTCTTTCCAGGCGTTTTGTGTTCATGGTGGTTTATCTCCTTCTATTCAAACTTTGGATCAAATACGAGTGATTGATAGGAAACAAGAGGTAGCTGTTTTCTGGTTTTAGTTTTTCAACACCGTTACTTGGGGCAAAGTCATCATGTTAAAAGGTTGTTTGGCAAATATTTTCGGTTAATATTAAAAGCTTCCGGACTTCTCGTTTAGAACAATCTAGATCGCGTTTTGAAATGCACATTTTAGAAATCAGTGGTTATTAACAAAGTTAACTGAACGGGTCTTCACCACTCGCTTTTTTTCAGATTTAATTCGTCCTAAAGTGCTCATCAAACGGGTTTTGTAGGTTCCGCATGATGGTCCAATGTGTGACTTGTTGTGGTCGGATCCAGAAGATTCGTCGGTTGGATGGGGAATGAGCCCACGAGGGGCAGGCTACCTGTTCGGCGCAGATGTTGTCAAAGTAACTTCCACTGAAATACAGTTCTTTCTTTGACCGAACTCATGACATTCGTTTAGACATTCTGTGATACGAATGGCGTTGACCTTATATGTAGAGCTCATCAATTAGTCATGGAAGGTTATAAATGGCATTTTAACGACAGTGTATTAACAGTATGGTCTGCTCCCAATTATTGTTATAGGTTGGTTAGGTCTACATTTTTTTGTTTCCTGCTAACCTCAAGTAGTAAAATTTCATAAGAATTTGAAAGTAGTTCAACACCTCGTACGCTCATTTGAAATTTTTCTATTTTTTTTTCATTTACTTTATTTGATCCGTTTTCACGTCTACTGTGTGGATCCGAGCACTTCTCACATCCAATTCGTTTCCTCGCATACATCGTCCACGAAGGTCTTCCATGTTTTTACGTGTGGCATCGGTTGCTGCTTGAGGATTTTCATTTCATCTTGAATGTCGTAGAAGGCTGGTCGAGCCGTTCTCCATGGCCTCCTGAGATAGCCGGGCTGGAGCATTCCCAATTGGATTGCGGAGAGTGATTTTTTTCCAAACAAGTCCGGTACCAATTTCCCGACCCCTGGGGATGAGAGGCTTGGTTTGCCAGGAGCGGAATCGAACTAGCACCATCCTCATGAAAATGGACATTACTGCCACTGTGCCATTTGGAATACTCGAAAATTTCTTAAATTCCGCTTTATTTTATGTACAAAGTAAGTACTTGTATTCTGTATAGTCTATGTGGAGGTGCGTGTACCGCAGCGGTCGGATACTTCATGCAATACACATGGGGTCGACCCCCGCGCCCTAGGTTCACAAAGCCTTCCATCCCTCCGAGGTCGGCAAATTGGTACCAGACTTGCCTGCAAAGCTAGCGGCACTGGTTCAATACATCAGTTGGCCACCCGGAGTCATTGTTAAAGCACGATATGCATTCAATCACGTTCAATGATCTTTGAAGAAGTCGAATGTAAGGCGCATCCCTCAGGGTTGATCAATGCCGAGAGCTTTATCCTCTATTCTTTATAGTCTATATAGTGTCTCCAGTGAAGGTCTGTTCTATTGACAGGTGATAATATTCTATCCCAATTTACTTCTTCAGTTTTTAGTGTAATATTCTTCCTACTTTGTAGGTGTGGAAATGTAGCTGCAATATTGGAATTGGATGAACAGTTGAATAAGGAGTTCACCATATTTGAAGCAGCTCCACAAGTATGTTTTTTATACAGTTTGTGCAGCCATAGCCTTTGATTTAACATCAAGTTTTTCATTTGAATGAACGTTCTTTTTTCAAGGAGAATCGTGGTGCACCAGCAAAAAAGCCCCAACCGGATTACTTCCTGTAATAATAACGATAAAAGTTCGACGCGTATATCGTTAGCTCACGGTTTAGCGAGTTCTCTTTAGAATCTCCTATATCATATTTGACGAGGTTTTCGTACTTTTCAATATGCTTTCTTCGCACTGGCATTGGTAAATAATAATCTCGTTACTGTTTTGTACATAATGAAGTAGTCCATGTGATTCCGAGTACCGCCTTGTACAATTTTACAGCAGCTTTTTTTTAGCCTTGCTAACAGTAAGCTCGTTTAGCATTTAATTTGGTTTTTGGTAAATATAACCTGAAATGCCTTATTCCGCCCTTCCTTTAAATCTCTCTCTCTCTCTCCTTTTCTCTCTTCTTTTTCCTCTTTTTCTGCCTGCCTTTGTGTCTCCTTCAATGCCTATTAGGTGTTAATTTATGATTTATTTAATCTTATGTGGACCAGATGGTTGTACCACATTGTTTATTGGTTCTATTGAACAGTAGAGTGAATTGAAATAAATATTTATCTCAGTCATTCGACGGATGAAGCTATCTGATGTGGAGGAGCCATATACGGTCATCAGCCTTTCAATTATTTTGTCGTGCATATTTCAATAAATGTTTTCTAACACGTGTAAATATTTTAGACTACGGTTCCTATCCTGTCTCGTTTTGGATTCGCTAAATTCTGAGTAGTGTTGTATTGAGGTGTAATTCGGGATTACTCTTAGGTTATTTTACGTACTTTTACAGAAACCTTATGCATTAAGAATGATTAACATTGCAAAACGATCAGTGGTTTCTTTGCGATTCTACTCTGCGGCCGCTTCAAGTTTGTCGGGTGATCTTAGAAGTAAAATTGATAAGATGGTGAAGGTATGTAACTCCCTCAGGTCCTTGTTTTAGTAGTCTTGATGCTAGACAATTAGGTAGATGTGGATATCTTTTAAACTCATCTGAATAGTTCATTCTTTCTCTCTACTTTTTCTCTGATCTTTAACATCAAATGATGTAGTTAGCTAGGGAGTCGTGCCATGTAGTAATTAACGCTTTACTGTAGTGTGTAGCTGTTTTTTTTTTTCAAATCATAACTTTAGTTTCCGTTGGTTCGAATTCCATAGAGAAATTTTTAAATTTAGTCAGGTGATGTTGTGGTATTCATGAAAGGAACGCAAGATGAACCGTTGTGCGGGTTTTCGCGGAATGTAAAGCTGGTAAGGCCTAATTTTCAAGGTTTCATTCATTCAGTGATTGAAGCAACTTCCCATTGCTCAGCAATCAATTCTTTCCCATTCTTTTCTTCTAAATCATACTAACTGTGCAGGTTTTGGACTACCACGATGTGAAATTCAAGGATTACAACGTATTGAGCGACCCTGAACTAAGAGAAGGGATAAAGACTTATAGTGACTGGCCCACTATACCACAAGTAAGTTATTTTCCTCCGCAGTCTATTAACACAGTATCAACAGCTGCAATTTTTGGGTCGAAGTCGCGTCAGTGACGTCTAATTTCTCACGTTGTGCTGTGAATTGAAATCATTTTATACGGGCTATAATATCGTTGCTTACGCAAGCATAACGTTTGCACTTGCTATCTTTTCGCTCTATGATTCAGTTCCATCGGTGATTTTTGCACATTTTTGCGTTCCAATTACCAGCTCATTTATTGTTTTGAAGCATGTTTAACGTTCAGTTATGATTCCGTCAACCTTCATAACTGGCTTCACAACTTACGTTGAGTAAACCCAAGCGTTTTTATATTTGTTCTAACCAGTGATATTTGGGCGTGATAAAATTGTTAACTCCCAGTGTTCTCAACGACACTATGTGGAATGATTTTGAGAAACATAGTGTGTGTTCAGGGGCATATGTGGCGCAGTGGTTAGAGGCCCCTGCGGTACAACCATGGGGTCAATTCCCTCTCCCGTGGCCCAGCAGGCCCTCCATTTCTCCGTGGTCGGCAAATTGGTACTAGACTTGTCTGGGAGGATAGGAGCACTAATTCGATACATCGGCAGGCCACAGCGAGTCATTGTAAAGGCCAGTTATGCATTCAATCACCTCCAACGATGCTCGATGAAGTCGAATGCATGGGGCATCTCTCACGGATTGATTAACACCGAGAGCGTTATCTTTCATTTTATTTAGTGCGTGTTCCCAGATCGGAATACCCTCCTCGTTAGTAACATTCTTGCCGCAGGACCAAGAAACTCATACGAAAGCTATTTTGTTTAATTTTCATGCCTATTACAACGTAATACATGACAAAAAAACTGCGGTAAAGCCGTTAGCTATGATGCGAATGGGAAATAAATTTTTTTAAAGCAGTCTCCGCCTATATGAGTTAAATTTTAACTACGCAATCTGCTAAGGTCATTTTTATCGTTAGTTCGAGAAATCTCATGTAACAAAGGAAAATCGTATGAGGGGAAAAATTTTGAAGTGTCGGATCAAAAATACCGTTAAAAAACAAGGACGATTTTGTTAACGTATACTTTTGGTTCGTTGCTATTTCAGTTTTACTGCCAGCCCTTATTCTTCATAAAGAGAAAAGAAGAACAGGAAAATATCAGTATAACTCGCAAAAATCTTGACAAGACTTCGGTGTAGTTTGACAGACTGATGACAGTATATGTCCTGTAGAAACTAAAACGTTTAAGGGAGGCCGTTCTATACTTTGCGTTAGGGGATATGTTGGTACCATCGTCGCTGGTCGTACTGTATAAAGTGATGAAAGTGAAAGTAAGTAGTGAAACCTACTATAGCGTGGTGGTTAAAGTGTACATTGAATTCAAAAAGTACGACGGGAAAAAGTTGGTAGCGACCAGTTTATCTCCAACCACGAATGGGTGGGAACCAACTTGTCGTTGTAATGCTTTCGCACGAAAAAGTCAAGTTTACATTTCTTAGATTTAGGTGTACATTAAAGGAGAGTTTGTTGGAGGATGCGACATATTAGTACAGATGCACAAGGATGGAGAAATCTCGTGAGTTTTTCAATTTGACTTGTTATTGTCTGAAGAGATGTTTACATGGATGTTTTCCATTGTTTCAGAGACTTTTTCGACTCAAAAGGTGTAGCGAACAAATACGGAGAGAAGAAAGACTAATTGTAATATGTTAAAACCTAGGCAAAACTGCAATCGTATTGATGTTCCTTGTCACATCGTTGACAAATATTTATTGGACTTCCCTAAGTAAAGCGAGATAACGAACATAAAAGGAGCTAGGCAATGTGAACACATGGGAAACAAAGCACTATGCTTCTACCGAACTACGCACCCACTATACATATATGTATATGTATATATATGTAGAAATTCAAAATGATGCAACTCCCACGTCCGACTTTCTATTAACCTCGGCATTGATTGAACAATACTTTCTATTTCTGTTCAGCAAACGTCAGCTTGTACGTGAATAAAGAAATAAAATAGCACCTCGCGTTTGCTGAACAGAAGTAGAAAGAATTGTTCAAAATGATGCAGTTCACCAAAGTAACTTGACGTTGAAGACCTCTCTGGCTTTATGGCGTGGATGCTCACGGCATTCAACATGCATGCGACCATTGACACGAATGAAGTAACAGCTTCGACATCTCAACTTTAGCCGAGACTTCACCTGAAGTAGTCCAAAATAATGGCTGATTTGTTGCTTAGGTTTTGACAGTCTATCTATTCACCGGACTTTAAAAATAGAATTTGGGTATTGAGAGCTGATGCTGTTCTATACCTACTGCAAATGTTACTCAGAAAACTGCCAAAGTTCAGATAGATAACATCATACGTATCGCTACCCACTTGAAGAGCTGTCCATTTCATATATCTACGGGAAGAAGTAAAGCTGACGGGAATTGATATTGGTAAAAAGGAAAGTTGCTTACTTGAAGTGTGCTTTTGTAACATTTCTAGAGTTTTCCATACATACAATACAAGGAAAGCTTAAGCGATGAGTACAACTTGTTATCTCGAAATTGAATTAGCATGGAATACAGAAGTGTAAGGTTTGGTACCTATCTGGTGTATCAGCTGCCAACCATAGCAACACTTACTATTTAGAGGACTAGAAGAACTTGAGTTTCAGAATCAAAATTTGTAATACACTCGAAGGATATGCAGTGTACTAAGAAGGTCATTAAACTATTAAGGATAAATATGTTGGACTATTTTAAATTATTGTTTACTGCCTATCTTTTTAATGGCAAGTATGTTGCGAAATATGACTTCAATGATGCTGAGATATTTGCAAAACTGAGGACTGCAGGTGTCTGCAGTGGGGAATAAACGCGCTATTACCCTTTCCAGGTACTACGCTTCACCTGTTCGTCAGTTAGTTCCATCGATCAGTGCCATCAGCAGGACTGAAAGGGTAAGAGCGCGTTCGTTCTCCACCGCAGATACCTGTGGTCCGGGGTTTTCCAAATATCTCAGCATCATTGAAGTGGTTTTGGACTAGTTCTCAGGATCGACTTCTTTCTAACCTCAGCACTGGATTATTAATGCGTCGTATGTTGGATTATGCTAGGACCGTAACATTTCGCTTCAATCGTAGCATACTGGTGTAGGTAACATGGAGTACTGCTGAGGCTTATCCATACCTTGAATCCAGCACTAAACTCCAACGTGCGAAGATTAGGCACTTTAAGCAATGACTGAGTAGCAGACGCTCCAGTGGTCACGATCCTGGCAAGGATTCCAGACATTCTGAAACATTTTTAGTGTCAGTTGTGAACTCGACGACTTTCAAGAAACAAACGGATTTTTGGAACATTTAATTACGCAAGGCACCGGAACCAATTCTCATTGATCATTTTCGTGGTTCATTCATAAGGGCCTGTTGGACGTTACAGAGAGATCTCTTCAGCTTTGGAAAGAAAGAAATAAAAATGTGGTTGCATCACCACTAGTAGGGAAGATGGACCGTTCAAGTATCCCAGTAATTGGTACAGAGGGCAAACAGTCTGCTTGTTACGTTATCCACAAGCGATCGGTACAGACTGATTCACAGAATTCTCTGCAGTCTCGGTAACAACATCGCTATCGCCCTGGGAGAATCCGGGTTGCAAACTTCAGATCCATGAAAGTTGGCCAGTGTCCATGGCAACGACGTGTCCCTATCTTGGATTCTTAGTGAGTGACTCTCGTTCAACATTCAGCTTACCGATGGGAACAAAAGTTCACACAGCCTCGATTTCTGTCTGAATCAACATCCGATCCAGACTAGCTCTATGGATGGCAACTACAAGATGGATGGAAGAGATGCTGCTACCAGTACGACAATCCAGAGGTCATCTAATTGGAAAGAAGTAGTTTTCTGTAAACAAAAGCTCACACTTATAACGTCTTAACAATCCATACCTATCTTCGGAATAAAGACGACAACCATAATACCAATCTAAGCAAAGGGAACTGGATCCTTAGGCAACATCGACTACAAAAAAACTGTACGTGAACGAAAGAGTCTTCTAATGAGTGATTTCCGCATTTCCTCTTACTTCACTATTTTAATGTATACTTACTTGGACGACCCGTCCTCACTAGTTGTGCAGACCCAGCATAATTTCCATTGTTTCGGAGACTTAATGGCTAAGCCATCGTGGTTCTCTGGAGTCCCGAAGTTAGCCAGGCCAAAGTCTACCCCAGGTCGTCACCACCACAGGCAGTCGCCGCCCTTGTAGATTAGAGGGAAGTTTGCCACCAAGCGACTACTTTGATACCAGGACGGTGGTGGATCTTGGTTTCGGTTTACTCTTAGCTGGTCTTCCTTATGGGAACGATGGTGATGATAATAATGGTCAAATGATTTCAATGTATCTGAGTGGAAAATGTGACCTCGAATTACAAACAACAGGTTATATGCCATAAGTAATGAGAAGTACAGCGCAACATGGCCAGGCCACGCAATCAGTGCGGATGCTGGCACGTCATTCTGTGATTGCAGACTTGCGACGGGCATTCAAATCCTATGAATCGGCTTACCGATTCGTTTCGGGTATACTTTGTTACCACTTTAGCAGTCTTTTTCTGCCATTTAAGTTTGTTTTCGTTCGAGCCACCGAGATGCTGTTGCAGTGAAATGGTCCTCATTTGATAGTTCTCAGGCTAGATATGTTTTTCAGGAGACTTTTCAGTTGGTATTCAGTGTTGGTACCCATGGATACGAAAGCTTCTCTCATATTAAATTGTACGTTATGGAATTCAGCCTCCTTTTCTAATGTTTGTGACGTTATTTCCCGGTTCGTTATAGGACGGAATAAAATTTATTTGCGCTGTTGTCACCTTCGTTTGGTGGATCGACTAATCGCAGGATTCCCCGGCCGTCAGAGGTAAAGCCTAAACGTGGCGTAAGAGAGTAGTCCTTCGCTTTCTTCACCCCTAAAAATGGTGGAGGGCTGTCATAAGCGATCTTCCGAGGTTCCAGTGAACATCACTTCCTACCAACATTCAGCCAGTCAATGAGAAAAGACGTCATTTCCTCATGCCACAGCTGAAACGACGTCCTTACCTGACCACTTTTTCTTGGATGACGTTGTTAGGCAACAAAGCGAAGAGGAAAGTTGACCTCTACATTTTGTAAGAATGAGATACCGGACTGTATAAGTCGAACTGCATTACAGAGGGAGGGTTCATTTTGAAACTATGGTTCTACGTTTATATCCAGAAGTCCAGCTCATTAAACCTATGGCACTCAGAGCTCATTGAACTACCCATGGTTAAAATGTCTTAACTTTTATTTTGGCCATTCTTTTTTAATCCGGTATACGATGTCAAGTACAACGGCAGGGATGTTGAGATATAACCGGAACTCGGAACCACAGTTCGGCTTCGAACCCACGTTTACCGTTGCCGTGGGCTCATGCGATATCCACTGCACCAACTAAGACCTTTGCTTTGCCTTTCTCACTGCCAGTTTTGCTCTATGGGTGTCAGTTTTTTATTCGTATTCTTTGCTCATGTTTTGGGATTCCTGTCGTTGTACTTTACATCCTACCTTGCCATAAGTAAAAAATAGGCAGTAAGTAAAAACTAAGACGGTGTGGTCTGGACTACAGCTTCAGCTTAAATGGATTCAGTTTGCCTATTTGTTCCCTTCAAATCATTTCCGTTGACGGGTGACTGATGATCACCTGTATCACCTGTAGTCCCGTTGATTGTCGAGTGACTCGAGCGGGCGCCAGTAAATCTTCCATTTTTTCCTGTCCCTTGCAAGAGTAACCCAGTGGGTTCTGCTCGCTTTGGGGACTCGTCGAGCGTCATGACGAGGAATCCAGTCACTAACGGCTCTTGTCCATCGGTGACTGGTAATAGCAGCGTTAAAGTATAAGTGGCTGACAGAAAGGCAAAGCAAGGGTCTTCAGTAGGTGTAGTGGATAACACGTTGCCCTCCGGAAGAGGTAATAACGAGCTCGAAGCTCATCTGAGGCTTCTGGTTTTCTGTCTTATCATCATTGTGATTGTACATGTGGTAGCCTTCTTTTGCGAAGGGGGGTCTTATGTAAAACTGTGAAGTTTTTAGTCCAACTCAAGGCAATGGAGGCCTTTGCGTTGTACTCACAAACGCTGAAAGCATGAGAACCCTTATTTGAGAAGCTTATAAATGCACTGTTACTCTTTACTTTTCATGAGTTGCAGCAGATTTACCACAATGACAGTTTTTGTTGTAATGGGCTAGCCACTTTCAAGCTTAAATTGTGTTGTAACTTTGTTTTTGTGAGCAAGTAGCCTGTTTAATGATGTCGCAATCATACTTATGTACTAAAGGGTGCGTGTAGCGCAGTGGTCTGAGGCGCCCTACAACGCACACGTGGAATCGATCCACGTGCCCATTGACCATCAAGCCTTCTACTCTTCCGGGGTCGGCAAATTCCTACCAGACTTGTCTGGAAGGATAGCAGCACTGGCTCGATACATCGGTAGGCCTCCGCGAGCCATTGTAAAGACCAGATATGCATCCAGTCGCCTCCAACAATGTTTAGTGAAGTCGAATTCATGACGCATCCCTCAGGGATTAATCAACGCCGGAAGCTTTATGCTTTTTCCCACAGGTGTACTTTGATTTGCGTTCGTACTGAAATTATGTTTTGCGGAGTGTTTAATTCCAGGTAGCACTGTGTGGTAATTCTTTCAGAAGCACTGTCCAGTGTGAAGGAACAATGGAAAAGTCACTAAGTTTTTCATCTGAAACAAAAAAGAGCATGAAAAGGACGAAATGCGCTATTAAGAGGTAGTGAATGTCGTTTTTTTCTCCAACTTCTCAGTTTTCACAACTTTTTCCCAGGTCGCATCGGTTGAAGTCACCATTTATACCTTGGTTTATTGCCCTATCCATACTTACGTTGGAGGTTGGTTTCGTAATCACGCTTAGGTTTAGACTTAGGCTTTTGTTTCTTTGGCTAAAGTATTTAACTATCTTTGAGTTGTAATATTTTTGCGCACATTTTCCCTTTCAGATTTTCTCATTTGAGTCTTATATCGGCCACTTTTTGCTTGGTGATTACCTTCCTTGTTTCTTGGTCGTTTTGTTTGAGTACATTTTACTAGTTTACATTGTTAGTGTTATCTTGTGGATGATGTATGAAGTTTTTCTCAAGTCCACTCAAGGATTGGTGCATGGTTAGTGGATTTTTCTTCCTGTATTTTACATTTATTCTATTTTGGTTCTGGGAAATCTTTGAAGATTTCCTCCGTCCGATTGATCGAACCGTCTGTTGGAAAATTTGTATATTTTCAGCTAGTTTTGGAATGATATTACCGTCTCCTTCGCATTCAAATCCAGAAATATGCGGAAGTTTTCACCTTTCGGACACCCCAAATCGCGCCGATGCTTCTTGGGTCGACGATTACCATTTCGGCATGTCGATGTCGATGGAGGGAAATTCTTCGTATTCTCGTCAAGCCTACACCTCTCATAGTCACAGGTTGAGAATTTCTATCTGCTTCAAACTTTTCTTGCACATAATTGAAGCTGAAGAAGTTTTTTGTACATTTTTGGCATTTTCCCAGTGCTTGTATTTTTAACAATTATGTGACGACGATGCCTCTGAAAGAGTGCCTCATAGTGCCTACCTCTCATACGATGCGAAACTGGTGGTCACTTTCAATCTAAAGCAACATATCTCATAGTAACTCCCAAGTCCGACTTTCTATTAACCTCGGCATTGATTGAATATATCTTTCTACTTCTGTTCAGCAAGCACGAGGTGCTATTTTATTTCTTTATTTACGCACAAGCTGACGTTTCGGCGGATTTCGCCTTCCTCAGAGCCGCTTTTTATGAGTCTTCCACTGAGTATGTCGCGTGAAGACCGACCGCACCAAATTCACATGGAAGCATAATGTACAAATGTAAAGAATACGTAGGGTATGGCATGGTGAGCCTGGGGAGCTGGGATCGATCCTATGTGTTGCAGGGCGCCTGTGACCACTGCATTACATACGCCCATATATAGTTTCTAGTTCCACTTAGTTGCTAATAGTCTTGATTGCAATTAAGAAAATTCACTAGAAAAAAAGAGTGAAAAACCTCGCGTTTGCTCAACAAAAATACGAAGAAAATTACTAAGAAAATTCACTTTTAGCTGAGATATGTTGAATATATCTTTCTACTTCTGTTCAGCAAGCACGAGGCTTTTGGAAGGCTTGTTGAGCCTAGGGCGCTGGTCTCGATCTCATGTGTATTGTAGGGCGCTTCAAATCATTGCGCCACGCTCCACATTTATAAAGATTATATATGCCATTGATGTGATAGAGCGTAAACTTCTGTTACTCTTTAAAGTTTCAAACTCCTGAAGTACTCTAGTGATAGATGGTAAATTAACATCAGTCATCGAAAAATCCGCTTCGTCGAGAAAAAAATAGATCGTCTTTGTAATGAAAAATTAGCACGGGTGTTTACTTAATGCCTTTTTAAAGAACTGAAAATGATCTAAGGTTAGGATCAGCATGGTGTGGTGGTGGACGCGGAAGCCCCGGAAAGGGTAATAAAGTGTTCGATCTCCACCGCAGACACCTATGGTCCGGAGTTTTTCAAATATCTCAGCATCGTTGTGGTTTTAATCCACATAATACTCTTCTGTGGAAAAGTTGTAGTAGGCATTAAATAAAAAGGTTAACATTGGGATCTAAGCTTCATTCATATGCAGTGCTTTCAGTGATCACCAGCTTAACGTCAGCTCTGCAAGCATCGCCGATTCCTCCCTTCACGGCATTCCTATTAACGGTGTGACGCCACGAAGCAGCCCTTACAATAAGTCCATCGACAGCATACACACACGAGAGCAATTGGACTACCTCTTATCGAAAGAGTATTTGATAGCCCACTTTTTTCTTACATTATCTATCTCATTACTTTGTAATGCCTATCCTTTCAGGGGCACATCTCATTTGGATACATCTGCAACTCGAAGTAGTTCTTTCGGGTATTTTAACGTTCTAGATATCGGAGCTCCTGAAGAAAGAAAGTGTTACCAGGTTTCAGAGCAATTGAAGTGTTCAGATTCGAAGGATAACAGTGAGTGCTTTTACATCAAGTTATTTCTTTGCAGAGTGATCGAATGTAGCATAGTTACATTTGACCCTTGGTTTTTTCGTTTGGCCTTTTTTACATCCGAGCAGTGAAATTCCAACGACGTTTTAGTTGTTGTCAAAATGGGTCCTGGAAGCCGCGTTATATTATCTCCTGCTAGTAGTGATGGTGATGGTCAGGACGAAATGACTAGGCTGAGACACGCTCTTCAACACGCAAGGCATAGTCCGAGAAAAGTACGCCATTTCTTATGCATGTGGATACATTATATATGTATTTATGTATGTATACGTTTTTTTGCACGATCAGTCATCACAACTGCTGTACGGATACCAGCACTTCTTGAATTCGATTCCTTTCTACGCATCCAAAACCCACAATGATCCTTGAACATCTCTCGTGTTGTTGCGACTACTGCTTGAGGATTTCATTTTCTTTATGGATGCCGTAGAATGCCGGTCGAGTTAATTTTCACCACAATCTTGAAGACAGCCGGACTAAGGCGTTCCCACGTTGACTAGGGCAGTGTTGGGACGATGATCGAACTAGCGCCTTTGCTTCCTGGTCTACAGCATCACAAACTATTGCGCTATCACCTCCTCCTATATATTCACATAAATATCTAATATATCCTACATATTTTATACACATGTGCTTGTATATATGTGTTTGCATATATATATATATATATATATATATATATATATGCTGTCCAATGGTTACATACCAACAAATCATAGTGTGCTAAGTTACCTTGACTTTTTTATGCTTCGTATAATCCTGGATCACTCCTCTTCCGCCGCGAATCTTTTGAACGACGTCGTCGTATTTCATCTCCTGAGCGCACTACCGGAACTGGATCGATTCCAGTTACTACAGAAATCGATCCGAAGAGGTCCATACTTTTTCTCAATTTGTTTTTGTATTAGAGGATTTTCTACTTTTTTGCTTTTATATAAGTGGTATTAAATTTTTATTAAAATGACCATTACAGTCTACTATTCTTCAGCTCATGTTTGGGAGAAATAGATTTCGTTTGTGGTGAACAACGTTTGAGAGCATGGATTGTGAACACGATTTTGGAACCGCTCGATCGGCGCATTAAGGAAACTAATTCAAAGCTTGAAAAGGTGAGAATCCATTTCATTACCGACGCCATCCCACAATTTCCAAGGTTTTTGGATTTTTTTGAAAGATTGAACGGTCTTTTATTATGCACACCTATTAAGGTCTAAATTTAAAAGATGACCTTTCATTTTAGGAGCATAGTAGCCCCCCTTTGCGAATTGGTGTTTCATCGGTTGAGACGTTACAAGCAGCTTTAGTAAGTCGTCCAGAACTCTTGGATACAATGCTTCCGTATATTCTTCCTTTTCTTTCCGTTCACAATAACCAGGTAGAATATCTTCGTTTGATTCACTAGTTATTAGGTTTTAAAGTAAAATGTTTAGAGTTATTTGGTTGGACGTATTTCTGAACTTGCCTCTGACAAGTTAATAATGGAATACGTTTGGAATGGTGGTGGTAAGGAGCCTGTACAGGAAAAAGGTAGATTTCTAGAGGATGCTTTATCATGTAACAATTTCTTAAAAGCGAATGATTCCTAGGAGCTGCATCTAGGATAATAAAAATATTCTATCCTTTCGGATTGAAATATAGAAAAGTTTCATCGGAAATTACTATTTTTTCTCCGATTTGGACAGTAACTTATTTGGATTCATTTCGTTCGTAATTGATCTTTAATTTTCGAGGCTTTAACCACTTTGAATTTTCCTGACTTTATTTCCTATATTATTTTATACTGTTAAAATAGAATAGTTGATATAGTTGCGACATCTTATCGAGTTGCTCGTCGTCCTTGGGGTGAACACCTTCCGACTGATGCTATGCTTGTATTCTCTCTCTTCTCAGCGTACATGGACACTCAGTTGACGTCTAATCCATTAGTTGGAACATGCAGGTGTTTCGCATGCAAGATTCTCATTCATTTAAAATATGTATTAAGTATAATTATCTATTTTCAGACTTGCGCAACCTTTCTCTGCTTTGTATACATTAAAAGCTCCTCAGAGACCCAACGCAGTGCATTTGGCTGCGGAGAGTTTTTATTTACATGTGGTGAGTGCCATACAGTTTGTGGACAATGGAATAGTTTATTACCTCTACAGAGTACCATTTATCCTCCGCATGTTGACTTCGTCTTCAATGATGCCGATGGGTCTCCGTCCCGCCCTGCGATACCACGAGGAGCGAGGAATTTGTTTGCGGCTATTTTATCATTCATCAGCCATGCGAAAGTGGGTTGCTTTAAATTTTTTACACTGTTCTTTGCTTCTCATGTCCATATTCTTTTCGTTTCTCAGCTCTTAACAAAATGACATTCTCGAAAGAGGGTTTTCTCCTAGCACTTATGCGACCACGCATGATTTCATGTCTTTACGAACCCGATGATTTTTCGAGAATAAACCGATAATATTTCGATAAACAAAGGACACCAGTTAAGAACATCAAAGGATTGTTGAGGAGACTGCTCTATCGCTCTTTTAGTATGACTGGTATATATGCTTATACTAGGTTGTTCTCAAAATAATGGTGTACTTCATAACTCGAAAGACCGACTTTCTATAAACCTCGGCATGGATAGTTGATATATTTATTTATGTGATCTTATAAACTGATCTTAAGCTGACGCGAGGTTGGTACAGATCTTCGTTGTCGTTATCGCTGTTTTCGATGTTCAAAACGCCTCAAGAGTTTTTCGTTTTTTGTTTTTGATTCCTGCGCTAGCATCCGCACTGTCACTTCGAAATCATCGCCGTTGTGCTTTTGTGCCCTATGCGTACCTAGAGGGGTGTTTAGACGGATTTTAGCTTTCCCATCTAGATGTTCTTTTATGCGGACACAAAGTGGTCTACCCATTTTCCCGATATATTCCTCGCCGCATGCATTACATGAGATCAAGTATATTATACCTAAAGTCATGCAATCTCCGTCTCTCCCGTTAGGACAGATCATACAGTTTTCTGAGTTGCACAAACGATCATAGAGACGGTTTGGAACTAACTGGCGGCGTAGGGTATTGGGTGGGATGTCAATAATCGTTACATAATTTTCAAAACTAATGTTGTACTTCAACTCGCATTTTTATAGTGACATCTCAGCTTCGAATAAACATTATTAGTAGTATAGAAATTTAAAATCCAAGCATATTTGCTAAGGAGCGACGAATTTATGTGTACTGGTTGCATTAAATCCTGAACTGGAGACGGTGAAGTCGTCGGAAGCAGCTTAGGCACGGATTGCTTTCCCGAACACTTTCTGGCAAATGAAGTTGTGGAGATGCGCAGAGAAGTTGTAATCGGTAAGCGAGATCTACTTTTGCATCGTTGGTTGTGGACTTAACCGCTTGAACGTTTACCACGACATTTTTACTCAATTCTGGCCATCGTATATGCAGCAGAACTTCAGCACGGTCCAATTACTGAACCAATTTTCGTTGGTTATCGCAGAGTTGATTTCTCGTCCCAAATCAAAATGCGTTTGAGAAACTGGTAGTTCCGGTCCAGAAAGAGCACCAATATCTTAAAACGGCTATTTCTTTGGTTCCTATTCAATTCGTTCACCATCCATTAGTCGAGCTTCTTAGACTTAGACTTCCTAACGTTGTTACATGCCCCGAAAAAGTTTAGATGCCGATATGGAGTTCTTCTGCAAGTTCTCGAACGATTGTGCTTTGATTTCTTTCCATCAATTCATTGTCATAAATAGCAGAAGTCATCGTCCACGACCCTCCTCATCTTCATGGTCGCAGTTGTCGCAACGACGTTTTCCAAACCAACGTGGCACTGTGCGTTGGTTAACAGCTCCTTCACCTCATATCTCGTTATTGCTCTGACCCATTTACGCGGCATAAGTCTGAGTTTGGAATCATAGAAGTAGATTTGTCAGGAGGTTTTTTTAGATATGTAATTCTAACCACGGTTTATATTTAATTCAATTATACGGATCAAATGTGTATAAAATGAGCTTTCCAATAACTTAGAATTTTACATCATTCGAAAACAGAAACCTGCCTTAGCAAGTCAAGGCATGCAGAAGAAAAATGAAAGCCGCTTAAGTTGAGTCTATTTCTACACTTTTTGTGTTCTCACTGTTTTTTTTTCGTCAAAATAAACTGTCAGAAAGAAAGCGACCGACCTCTAGAACACCATGTATAATTGTATAGAATTCGCATCGTCCATTGTGTTAACATATAACGCCCCAGTTCCATTGGACACAATTCAGCTGACACGAAAATAACGGCAAGTTAAGGTAACTTTGAGTCCTATAGAGGTCACATGGTTGCGTAAAGGTTAAGAGACAGATATAAAAGGGGAAAAAATGTTGTGAGCAGACGTCCAAAGAGAGCTGTGCAGTAGTTGAAGATGCACTAATATGAAGTTTGGATAATTATTTTGTGCTATTTTTCCCATGTGAAATGTCTTGAGGCTAATCACAAGCATCTCCAAATTCTTTGTATTAACCGGCAATGAAGAGCACACTATACTTCAAACGTCTTTATCCTTGTCGATTTACTCAGTTTCCATAAGACGTCGAACTGAAGATTGCTACAAATGCCTAGCTCCCGTCTAACTTTATTTCAGCCTTAGAAATTATGCTTTTTACTATTGAATTCAAAAACCACATATTCGTAGCGAACTGTAAGCAAAGGTATAATAAATAGAGGAGTGGAATCAAAATGGAAAACACTTCTAAAAAAGTCAGTATTTGATTGGATGAGTATTGTTGTACAAGATGGTGTGAGCTTGGCTAATATGGCGGTACAGCATTGGTCAGATGCGCAATTTGTGAAAGACGAACGTTGTCGTCAATGGGTTAGATTGCATGAGAAAGGAATTAGAATATCCAGTTGTTTTAGAGGAAAGCTTCATTTACTATATTCGTTACTTTTTGTTTGATGCGGTTAGCCGATATACGTTTTCTCTTGTCTTCCTAAACGCGAAATGTTTCAGACGAATAACGGTGGACGGTTGGATCGAATGAGCATTGGGCCGACTGGGCTAAATATTGCCTGCATCCTCGAATAGGTGTAAGGAACGTGGATAGAATGCGTCTTGTTCATTAGTACCTGTTTTTGGTTTTGAATTTCTAGATTCTTTTGTTTTGTGTGATGTTCTTGTGCTGTTATTGCTTACCATTTCCCAAAATAACTTGATCTTCATGTTAAACGGGATATTTTCCAAGTTCGGAAGAAAAGCATGACTAACAAAATTTGTAAGTTAATTTTAACTTAATTTAATGTAAGTAAAAGTGTAGGTTAAAAATTTCTGTGGTAATTATTGAAGTAATTTGGATAAAAATACTCGTTGCATTGCCTTCATCTACCCACCTGTTTTGCATGTATTCAAGAAGATTTGGCATCGTAACACCTCTATAGTTTACTACAACGGCTAATACAACGTCTTTTTCCTCGACATTTGGCTATCTTCTAGAGCATGCTTACCTGAGGCTGGAGATACTTGCACTCTGTACGTTCCAGTCATTCATATTCGAATACACTGCGAGTCGTCGTCATTACTTGTAGCGTTTCAGTTTGCTGACAATATTTGCTTCTGTCAGCCTACGACTTGACTTATTTGAATTTTCGTTCGCCTATTTTTTAAAGGTTGTTGCTAGTGTTTGTTTCACTAAAGAGAGGCGGAATCTTGTCGTTCTCTCCAACATGTTATTCCCACTACTAAACTACTTGGATACTTGGGCGGCCCGTCTTCACTGGTTGTGCGAGCTCTAGCATAATTTCCATCTTTTCGAAGTTTTGCTGGTTTAGTCATTGTGGTTCCCTGGTGCCTCGTTAGCCAGACTGAAGTCTGCACCACCACCACAGGCAGTTGCCCCTTTGTAAATCAGAGGGGAATTCGCTACCATGTGACTAGTTTGATAACAGGATGGTGCTGGATCCTGGTAGCCTACCAAATTATCGTCATCAAAAACAGGAGCTTCTAAGAGAGAGATGATTGCACACATTCTGAATATCAACTTCTGTCGTAGGGTTCCTAGAAATCACTGCAATAATCCATTTTGTAACCTGTGGAAGAGAAAGCTTCTCGAAAAATGAAATTCGGACTATTTTAGTTGGTCGTTAACTTTGACGAATAGGTTTTGAGATAATTGTTCTGTGGTATAATTGTCTTTGATGTGGAATGCATTGGTAGAATGCCACTCTACCTCTAAAAGATATCAGAGGTTGTCGATAAAGTGGTTTTTGCCAGAAAGTTTAGACTGTCTTGCAAATTTTTTGGGCAAGTTCAATCAGCGAACTTGTATAGCCTACCTCTTTCAGCATGTCTTGCATCACCCATTACTTAATAGTGATTGAACAGGACTAAGTTGTCTCTTAGCATAAACTAGAAACTAGTGGGTGGTATGTGTGAGCAATACTGTAGCTTCAGCACTATGGCTACAGTGATAATGTTAACTTTCTGTTTACTGCCCATTACAATTTTTCATGCGAGGGTACTAAGTGTGAAACAACCACCATAATGCTGAGATATTTGCAAAACTCCGAACCGCTGGTGTCTGCGGTGGGGAACGAACACGCTGTTACCCTTTCAGTGGGCTAACGCGTCCATCACCACTTCATGTGGGTCCTTCGTTTCGCCTCTCAGCTAGTTCAATGATCATCGCCATAAGCAATCACACGTCAACGGTATGAGTTAAAGCTAACATTGTGATTTGGACTACAGCCTTACCTTAAGTGGGTTCGTTGCCGTTTTGATCTCCCTAGATCAATCCCGTTGACGGATGATTGCTGATGGCGCTGATCGATAGAACTAGCTGAGAGAAAGGGGTGATGGTGAACGCGCTAGTGCTCGGAAAGGGTAATAGCGTATTCGTTCCCCACCGCAGACTACCGTGATAGTCCACCGTTTCCCACCTTAAAACATACATGGATGAATATCTTCATCTCATTCATGCTTTTGAGATTTTCTTTTCTTTGCAATGACCAAGTTGAGTACAGTCATAAATTTTTTTGATTGAGAGACAGGCGATGGTGAATTGTGTTTGTTCAATGCGTGCCTTGTAGTTGTGTTGCAGCTGCGCTGGACCTCAAACAAAGGTAATTTTAACCTTTATGTATATATATATATATATATATATATATATATATATAAAACATAGTATAAGCAGTAACACAAGGACAGAGCCGGTGCTCATAGATAATCCAAAGATTAGAAATTGACAACAACAATACGAAGGTGATAGCTGCTGCGACAGAATGGTTAGCTAGAACAGTAATTGACATGCCATACAGTTAGTGCTCAACTAGGAACGGTTAACAGCAAGTAGTAGAAGGGCACTGTAGTTGCGAAGGATATAAAAGTGAATACCAATTCTTCTAATACTGCTTTGAAGTGGATTTTACCACGCTTACCAGGTTGAACAAGTATATTACGTTACAAACTCGAAGCTGTAAGTGGTCATTGTGTGTCCATAGCGGACGTGGATTACTAGGAAAGCAGAGTATCCAATGACATAGAAATCAATGGTCTTGCACACATCAAATGATACAAGCAATACCGCTTTGCAAAGGTAGATGTAGAATATTCTATATAATATAAAGACGCTTGCTATACACCCCCTTTCCTTAAGTTTATGGAACTGAATGAATGCATGGATATTCTCTAGAAGTGTTAAAGAATGAGTACTATTAGCAATGACATGCTAAAATTTGTGAACTGCTTGACGAGTGTCATTTGTCAAAAGTGTCATTTCATATTTGCCGATTAATGAAACTTCTTTGCAAAGTCCTTTAGTAGTAGGATTTTTTTGTTACGGTTCAACAATAGTAAGCTTCATGCCAATGCACTGATTGTTTCTTACTGAGTTAGGCATTTGTTAACACTTACGCGACGAAGCGACTTCCATAGGAGCGATTTGTTACGGGGCACAGTGGCCGGTATGACTTCTATACTGGTCATCTTGTTTTTGATGGTTTCTCTTAGCGCGCCGAACTGTTTCCCTACATTTCTTGCAATCAATCGATTGCTTAATCAACATTGTTGGGCGGCATCGGCCGTGGAGAACTATGTCCTGCACTTGGAAATATACATAAGATTCTCGAGCGAGTTCAATGTGTGGTAATTTGATAGGCAATTGACTGCTATTCCAACTCCAATGAGGGTGCAAAACTGCAAAGGCGGACTCAACATAAGCTGCAAATCGCTTCCAAATGCTCGCGGCAATGCGCTTCTATGCCGGATCATAATAAAAACAGTAATAGTAAACAATCCTCCCAACGGTTTCCCGCCTCGTTGTGGTTGGGAGGTGTTCCTGGGTGTCGGACTGCAATGTGCAGCGGGGGATTCATCCACCCGGTAATGTCTCCCAAGCTGAGAAGATGTCCGACGTTTCCATCCGGCAGCACAGTTGAAACTAAAGCTCTCGACGTTGATCAATCCCTGAGGGATGCGACATGTATTCGACTTCATTAAGTATCGTTGGAGGTGATTGAATGCATATCTGAGCTTTACAATGGCTCGCGCTAGCCTACCGATGTATCGAGCCAGTGCTGCTATCCTTCCAGACAAGTCGCGTACCAATTTGCCGACCCCGGAGGGATAGAGAGCTTGGTGGGCCATGGGCGCGGGGATCGATTCCAATTGTGTGTTGCAGTGGTGCCTCCAACCACTGCGCCACACACGCCCGTGAGCATCAGGAAGGCTAGCTAAGAGTAAGCCAATACCACAATCCACCACCGCACTGGTATCAAACTAGTTGCATGATGGCAAATCTCCCTCTGATCCACAAGGGCAGCGACTACTAGTGGTGGTGACGGTGTGGGGCAGACTTTGACGAGGCTAACCTCGGGACTCCAGGGAAATAATTGCTAAACGAGCAAAATTCTGAAAAATGAAGATTGTGCTGGGGTCCGCACAACCAGTGAGGACGGGCCGTCCAAGTGTCCAATAGTAAACAATGGCATGTATTCCTCTCATATCCATGGAAAGATAGAACAAGGTCTTTTTAGAGTTCTGTGATGTTATGAACCTGTAAGCTCTTCTAGTTACAGAAATATTGTCGCCTATTGGCGAAAATCCAGCAGGTCTGGAGAGAAACACGAACTTAGGAGCTGACACCTAAGCGTTAAGGGTTTCAAATTGAGCAACTTCTCAGTTATTCTGTACCCCTTCGATGTCGTCGATTCGAGCTTGCACGAGAAATCTGTTCTTTCCTACGGTAGAGCTCATTAGTGTGGTCCAATTGCTGTAATGACATGAAGGTAATCAAACTTCTGGTCCAAGGAGCCCGATTCGGCTACGGCGAAGTGGCGTGCATTGAGCGTGCGTTGTTGATAGGGGTATTCAATTCAAATCGTGTTGCAGGTGTATCGTCGACTGCATAGTGAATGTGGTGACGGTATAATTGTCTGCCACAATTAGGCATGTGTCATAAATTACCAGAATGGTAGAGGTGACAACCACCGCGGGGTGGATGTGTTGATGCTGCTCCAGCAAAATTCCTCATTGGCGCATTTAGGAGGTTAGTTGTGTAATTCACCGAACTTTCTATTTTATCTAAAGATTTCAAACGCATGAATTCGCCTTTAGACGGGAAAATTGCGTGTGTTTACCTAGCTCGATTTGGTAAAGACAAGCAAATAGTCAGGATGTGAGGTAGAATCCCACTTTTCGTTTTTGGTTTGACAGCCTTTTCATTTGTTAAGAAGGCATTTGGCAATATTTTGTAATGGTGTAGCTGCATGATGTGGTAACAAAAGCGTCGAAGAATTGGCAACAAAGCTGAGTACGATTATTTACGATTAAGAACGATTGTAACTGTTGCTACCGCAACCACAATGATGTTAAGATATTTGCAAAATGTGGGCCGTTCGCTAGATCGAACCACAGATCTCCTTTCCAGGAGCTCGCGCATTACACACTCCGCCACGGAGGCCTTTTATCTGTGTTTCTCTCAGCTAGTTTTCTACTTTTCTACCTAACGCTGCCATCAGCAATCGCCCGATCTATCTATTGATCTAGGGAGCACAAATCGGCATTGAACCCAATTAAGCTGAGGCTGTGGTCGAAATCACAATGTTAACCATTTTTTTCTGTCTACTATATTTGTAATAGGCAGAAAATAAAAGGTTAATGCTGTTGTTATTTTTGGATGAGTGATGAAATTCAGTACTATTCCTCTCAAATTTGGCGCAGAGGTTCTGAAGTCGAAAAAGTGATTGATATCGACGCTAATGTGGGTCACATTTGTCTCACAAAAGTCTGTTATTTCTTATGTGGAGTTTTATTAGCATATATTCCTCTTTATCCTTCCAGTGTTTGAACTAACGCAAGGTGAAAAGAAGTGCAACACCTTCAGTGTTTTGCATAATTCTAGGTGACTTCATGCAAGTACGTTGGCGAACAACTAGCGTCGATTGTTCCATGTAGATGAAGATACATGGGTTTTTCTTCGTGCACATAACAACTGTTTACTCGTATAAATGGGGGGAGTTCCGAAGATCTATCTGCGTATCCGCTAAGTAAACTATTCGTTTCTCTGTCTTTCGATTATTTAGAAGTTGTGGATAATATCCTTAGTTTTACAGTAATAACGAGTGTCGAAATCATCACAGGTGAGTTTATCTTGCACATTTTGCGGAAATACCTAATCCAGCGAAATACAATGATAATCCGTATGAAATGCTGAGATATTTGCAAAACTCCGGACCCGGATGGTGTAGTGGTGAAGTGCGCTGCTCCCCGGTAAGAACAACAGCGCGTGTTCGTTCCCCACTGCATACACCTGCGGTCCGGAGTTTTGCAAATATCTCAGCATTTGATACGAGTTATATTTCGCAACATACTCTGCCATTAAGAAGAAAAAGGCAGTAAATAAAAGGGCTAAGACAATGATAATCGTCCTAAAGATAGCCAATCAAACAATGGAAAAATCACATAGTCACCCGCTTCACAATAGGAGCTCAAAATGGCTGTTCGAGATCGAATAGATCGAATATCGGTTCGAATTATAAGGTTTGATCAGCAGATCACGGTGAAGGTTCGTCTACTGTTTGCATTGTTGGTGCCAATAGCAAGCGGTTGAGCTGTCGAATGCTGATTCAGAGTTGCTATGGTCCGTGGCGTTGGAGAACGAATATGGGCAGCTGGAAACCGTTGCATGGGTCATGCGGGGTGCAGAACTGAGGAGAAGACGCGGTTGAACCTGAATATTCACTATATGATATACTTAAAATGATAGAGCACAGAGCGTTTTTGGTGTTGATAAATCTCTGAAGAGTGGGTCGTGCATTCGACTTCATCAAATATGGTTAGAAGCGGCTGAGTGCATATCTGTCCTATACAATGATATTTTAATCGTCCACTGATGTGTCAAGTCAGTGCTGTTCTTCGCCAAGCAAGTTCGGTACCAAATTTCCTATTCCAGAACGATGAAGAGCTTGGTAGACCCAGAATCTAAGGAACTACGTATGTACTGCGCGGCACCTATAACCACTGCGTTATACGCATCGCTGTATATACTTAACCTTTTTAAAAACTAGACTGACATTTAGCACGTAGAAAGAGTTCTCTTTCTTACTGTCTACGTGTCCGCAAACTAGTCAGCGAGCATTTGCCGACTAGTGACGATTTCACCACTTCCACTGGTTTCAAATTCTTTTTTTCACAAAGACAGACAGTTATATGTTACTTAGCGAATAGTGCTGTTATTTTCAAGGTTAAATATTCTTTAATATTCCCTGGAAAAGGTCTAAAAGTTATCCGTAAGTGAATCCAAGCTCTCTTGGTATGTCCAATACGACGCCCTTCACATCTGAACCAGCGGCACAAACTCAGATTGAGTGCAGTACAGGAGACGATCACATATTAAGCTGACACTAAGCTGGCCATGCCTACGTATACAGCGAAGATCAACGTCAGAAACTTACCTCTTCGGTGAATTTAATTAAAACGAAGTGAATCATACTCATTTACTGTTGCTGCGGATTTCATAAACTTCGAAACGAGTTTAAGCAAGCGTCGTACCTGTAGTAGATTGGCGAGCAAATTTGTTGTTGTTTGGCTGAGTCCCACTGATAGTTGATGGGCGTACTCGAGTGGCGTGGGCTGATGACCAGTTTGCAGCATTCGTTGAAGAACCAAGATGTAGTTCCTTAAGGTGGCAGTTATTCATGAATTGAGAACAATTCCTTTTTAACAGGGCTGAAGAGGTACCGATGATTTTTCCACAAATGGAGCATTTGGAAACCTCGCAAATTGAGCGACTTATACAGAAGGTCCAGACATGGAGCTCTAAGGGTCAAAGTGTTTTTTTTTCATTACAGCATTGTTTGAAAGCAAAAATTTTAACACAAGCGCCATAGTCTCGAACATTAGCGATGCAGCAACACTCTCACGTCCTGTCCTAAATCTCGACCACTCAAGCGCTTCAAAGTTCAAAATGCGTTCCTTGAACAAGAGGAGCAAAAACGAAACATTACATGGGCTTCAAAAGATTAGAACTTCAAAATCATAGACTGGAAGAACTCGAAATGATTCCGAGAGCTGATTTTCCATTAACCTCGACGTTGATCAATAAGTTACTTATAAGAAGAACTTGTATCTTACTGGCAAAGATGTTTAGATCCCAGTGGTTTTCATACAATTTATTGAACTTCACAAATATTTAATGGAATTTATTAGTGCTTAATAAAGTGAGCCGGCGGATTTTTTTCGCTCAAGTGCGCACTGATTACAATGCCCCTATGGGCTACGTGTTAGATTTTCCAATGACCCAAGTGGTCTAAATGAGCCATTAAATTCCTCGAGCGCATTGTTATTCTGTTGAATTTGTTTTATGCCGTTAAAGCAACTGTAATTGCCCCACCACTCACTCAAAGTATTCGAACAACAACGAAGTTCATTGTAGTAACCATAACTATTACTGCTTTTCATTTAGTAGAGATATATTTTTCCAGTTAAACAACTATAAGTGAATGTACCGAACGTTCACCTGATTAGTTGAGAGAGGTTTATAGAAGAATCAAAGGGCGGAGAGCAAAAATCGTCCTACTTCGATTTTCCTGTTGTAATAAATGCCGTTTTATTTTGGAGCCCAATTAAAGCCAACCAGAAACTTTTTGATTAGAAGGTTAATAGAATAGTGAATGAAGATTCTTGTACACATATAGCTCTCTGCCAGAGAAACCACCCAGAAATCGCTGACCTGGCTAGCCGAAGTGTTTCGATCTTGCTGAGCTTCTGATGCTGCATCGTAATTGGCACGTACTGAACGATGTGGATGAGAGATCGTAAATAACGGCAGATTAGTAACTATCTATCACCAGAAAATCTTTAATAAATTGTCGAGCTTTCACGAGGCTGTTATGCAAATTTCTATAAAACTTAAACTTTAACTAAATTAAACAAAACTTTAAAAAACTGTGGACTCTCGACACGGATCACCTGCTCTGATGAAGGCGAACACGTCGAAACGATAACCGAATAAAATTTGTATAGCAATCTCGTGTAAGCTCGTTAGTAAATATTTTAATTAAGTAGAAACGACTAATCGGGAGTTCTTTCTTGCCTCAGTGGTTACTTCAGCTTTGGCAAGCATTTCTGATATTAATAGCACTTATCAATTTATTATTAAACATTAGTAACTAATAACAGTGAAGTAATGGTAAGTACATAGCTTGTGGTAATTGATAACAGTATAATTAAAGCTCGTCAACGTTGCCATCCTGCTATGAATTTACGGATGGCTTATATTCTCAAGTATCTTGATCTCTACATCGAGTACAGTATACTTCAATTTATGCTATTCAAAAATGTAGGTGGAGCTCGAACAAATGCATTGCCGTTTCTTATCAACGTTTGCAGAGTTTGGGAGACATTGAGCGTCTCCAAAAGCTCGTTGACGTGTAGAAAAGTGATCTGATCTTGGAAACTGAATAGAGGATCCAGAATGTTCCAAAATGCTGTCTTAGGAGAAAAATGTAGATGAAGAAGAACAAACTGTCCTTAAAATTCAGTTCATTAGCCTTTGCACTGTAACGCAGCCGCTTAAAGATCTAATAATTAGAATTCATTCAATGTTCAACTCCTATTCATCAATGACAACTTTAGATCTTTAGCCTAAAATGTTTCAGTATTGAACAAGCAAAAAGCTAAAATTTCAAACACTTTATGCTGAGCTAAAATGTTCAGGCATAGTTCAGAAACCACTGCAATAGACCGACTAGCTCAAAGCCACTGGCACTCAAATATTATGAAAGGTTGAAACCACTCGCCACACATAACGAATTCAGATATAGAGTTTTTTCTAAACTTCTATAGGCAAGGAAACCATTCTACCGAAAGCCAAACCTGTCTGAGCACATCGAGTGCGTCGTTCAGACCATGCATACGCTGTCGCTCGCGTCCATTCGCCTTCAGACGACGCTGCTTCTTTTTCAGTAAATCGTCCATGGATTGTGGCGATGGTCTTGATCGCCAAGAACGCCGTAAGGGTCGGAGTGGAGGGTGTAAGGTCGCGAATTCGATAGTCAGTTTGGGGTGGTAGCATTCCCGGTGTGTTTTATACGCTCCCCGCACCCGAATTTGTCCGCCCCGCCCATGCGGGATACTGTAGCGCGTTGTCGTCACAACGATGTGCTGCTGCACCAAAGCGGCTAAACTCTGTTCTAGTTTCCATGTCCACAATGCCCAAAAGAAAATCAGCTCGCTAAACTGTGTCCACTTCCTCTACGCATTTTTTGTTCGCTTCCGCCTTGGACTAAGTATATGGGAGTTTGTACAAAATATTTCCAATATGCAGACAATGTAGATATTGATAGCTTACCATATACACATCTGGTAGCGTTTTGAATGAGCAACTGTGCTTTATAATACTCAAACCCTGCAAGGTTCAAATGGCCACGTTATTTTATTGCACTTTATTCGCATTTTCCATCCCTTATACTTTAACGCAGACTCTATCACTTTGGCGGGTTAAATTCAATACTTGGTTTATCCTTTTGTCACTAGACGAGGCTGAAAGATGTGGCAAGCACGACTTGATTGGAGCATCTCAGGGTTATATATTTTTTGTGACTGCATTTTTAAACTCCCAGTTGGAACTTTGCAAGTTTCAATGAGGTTTCTTTTCTTAGTATTGGAGCCTATTAAGAACTCGCAGAATGACTAGTCCGCGCACATTCTTTCAAATACGCTTGTAAAATTTTCATTCGTCCGGGTCGCTTGTTAAAGCTGCACAGCTCGTTCCCATTGCGCGATGGCAATAAAGAAACTGCTCAAGCATTTCCCGCAAGAAAGTGCCTACAGATATTCCATACGACTACACAGTAACAAACTAAATACATCACGAATGTATACTTTCCAATATTTTACTTTCACACTTATAGCCAAAGTTCTTCGACTGTTTGAATAATTGGCGCGTCTTCAGGAATTGCATAGAGTCGGAAAAGATCGTGTGGATTCAATAACCGTTTCACTGGTATTACATCGGTTTCCATACTCTTTTCCTTGATCGTGATTATTTGACAGCTACTGATTTTGCAGTTGGTGGCACAGTGACACTTATTCTTGACGCTGACTTACTGATTTTTCTATGGAGATTTCAAACTTATTAGCTTAAGAGGGCCTGATGACAGGATGAATTCTATCGCGTAATAGTTCGAAAATCAAATACATTCACCAGCAACAATGGAGCGGCGGTCAATATTGATGGGAATGCAGGTTCGTGTCCGGCGCAATCCAAAAATGTGTAAGCAGATCCATGCATGTAAACAAGAGCAGAGCCATGTACATACAGAAAGTATAAGCCATTCCATCGCAGTAGGCAGAGGATGCCCAACCGTCGAAGTCATTAGCATCTTAAAGCAAGTGGCTATTCGTCTGCATTCAACCTATTTTTTATCGCCCGAGCAAATATCTTGGGGCTTAGACATCGAGAGGATCCAAGGAGAAAGGAGTAAATATTTAAATACATTTTCAAAGACCCATATCGTCATCTGTGAGTATCCGAGATACCAGTGAACAGTTTCAACTTGTTTTGTCCCAACAATACATTGGCAGCTCAAATATATTCTAACGTACTACGAGTAAGCTGCACTGCAGATCTATGGTGCTCTAGTGAGGTCAAGTAATCGCACTCTTTCCGAATTACTGTACACAGTGTTTCGAGTGTAGTTGCGTCAGCGGTCATTTACATTGCGTCACTGACTGAAGTGCTGGACGTGAGATGCGTATGATCTCAGTTAAACGCCCGGTGTTGAAATTAACACAGATCTCCTGTCAGCTCTACGAGATGGTTGTAAATCACTCTTCTGCCAAAATTCTAGATGGTCCTGAAGCGAAAGTCCATTAGTGGAACGAAAGTAACTTGTTATCAAAGGCCATGCACGGTTTGTCTTAAGAGTGGTTGGCGAGCTTTCTGTTCTGCTTGAAAACAAATTGAATGTGTTCTAAAGAAGGCTACAAGATATTTCAACTTTTATGACTAGCATTTAGAAGGATAAAATGAAAAAGAAAGTGCTAAAGTAACACTTACAACTTGCTGCTCTAACTAGTGCGTTGATCTGGATTTGGCCTGGTTCATCATCGGCTAAATGTAGGAATGGTTGATGTTGTAGAGGAGTCTTAGTGGCACAGGAAACTCAATCCTATCACAGAAACTGGCAAGTACCTTCAGAATGCTAATTTGAGAATTCAGAAAAAATAACGGTATTCAGTCATCATTCAACATCTCAGTGAGGAAGAAAGATAACAGGTTTCTAACATGCATCCGAACTCAAAAACCGAACAAAATCCATTGACGGCAGCTGTTAACATCCATAGATGGCGATTGCAAGAAAATGAAATGAAAGTGAGGAATTGCTGGCACGCGCTTGTCCTACTAGAACAGATCGTTTAAAGGAGAAAAAAGAAAAAAATTTTAGAGAACATGTAAATCTCCGACAACAGATGGTAGGCAATTTGAAGACAGAGTTTCTTCATCTGTTCGTAAAACCAACCGTTTAGACTTCGATATGCACTCCTCAAACGCCGTATTTAGAAAGGAAAGGTCTTTTTTGCTCAAAAGTCTTTGGCTACACACACAGGTCTTTAGAGGACAGTCATCCTGTATAAAAGAGTCCTTTCAAGTGAAGTTACTTGGTTGGAGAGGTGCTTCACTCCAGAAGATTCACTCGATACGATCGCGCTATTGAACGGCCGAGGACAATCGGAGGTACCGAACCACTAGTCGAAGAAAATCTTTACAAACCTCTTGTTAGGTCATCAATGAGAAAAGACATTAGTCATTTAAAGACATACAAATTATCTTTTTCTGTTAATGTTGCAGTGAAGGAATAACCTTTAAGAAAATTAACGGTACATCTGAAGAAGTAGGTAAAATTCACTTTACAGGAATAGCACTGAGTTGCATAGAAAGATTAGTGATGAACGACTAATCCGCCGAACTTCATATCGAGCAGCTATGTGATTGAATCGATTGGGATCCATCCGGCGGTGTATCACTGCTATTAGCAGTTGGCTCTCTTTCATTGAAGATTTCGAGTTTCATTCCGTATTTCAGAGTTGTGCTTCACTCCAGAAAATTCTAGACCGTGGCTTTTGACCCGATAGCTGAATGAGGGTGACCTCAAGTGATAATTGCCAGTTGGTTTGGATGGTGGGTTAATCAGGGGATGTGCATAATTGATCACTCGAAATCGGCAATCAAGTGGAGAACAATGCGAACTGCTCATCGAGAACCTCACCAACAAGTGCACAAATCCTCGGATTACTGAGCCGTTCTCTCACAGTGCAACTTACTATGGACACTTGACAGCCGGTACGAACAAAACAAACAGGATATGATTCTGGAAAATAAAACCCGTAATTCTTTTCTCGTCGAATACTTTTCACCATCGTCTTAGTTTATGTGCGAGGTTAGTTATTGGGCACGGTTACCTGGTTTTCGCTTAAATTGTCAAAGTTGTTCACTAGTAACTTCGCGATCTTACCCTCATATGATACGGGGCACTAGCACATCTTCCATTCATTTCCCTGCCTTTCAATCGTCACCATAAGGAGGTGGTTGACTTCGGATTTGGTGGTTTCGGCAAAGCCTTGTAGCTCAGTTATGTCCTCTTCTCGTTGATATGTTAAGTACTGGTTTGGTTGGTTGGTCTAAAATATTTATACTATGTAGCGTTTAAAAATGTCACATATAACCAACATAGGTAATAATCTCCTTTTGCTTACGGAAACGGAGACCACTGTGGTTCGTAAGAGTCTTTCATATGGGAGGGGAAATGAAAGTTATTAGGCCTTTTGGATTAGTATTTGCAAAATATACCCGAAATTCATGACAACTAAAATCAGCACATTAATGACAGTGCTTTTAGCTTTCAAAGTAAAAGCAAAGTCCTTTCACCAAAAATTCGAGCGGAAATTGAGTAAGCCGCACAACTTTCTATGGCAAGTCGTTCCTCCTTTTCAGTATCAAACCCAGTCATTTTCAATAGACGCTTCGTCCATTTTGTTGTATTTAACGTATTTGTGATTAGCTTCTAGTAGCAAAGATGAATCGCTACGCATCTCATCTCGTTGCTGACCAAATACGAGATTATCTTAGGCTCGGAATGGATTACAGTACCATTTCGAGAATATGAGAGGATAGATGTTATCTCCAAGCATTGTTACTTGGCTTTTGTCTTACAAAACGGCAGCTAATGTTGTGCAACTCAATAGGCCCATTGAGGAACCGCCTGTAATTTTCTGACATTAGGTCAATCGGTAAAATGACATCCATGTGATCACACAACAAGGTACAGAACAGTAGGCTTGTTTAGTCGTTGCTTAATTCCACACCTTTTTTAACAATATATAGACCTTTACATTTCTTAGTTTACCGCATATATCCATCCACACTGATTGGAAACCTCGTGCGGTTATGTTTTCATATTGTTCGGGCTTAATACATTCTTTCTGTCAGAGTGGTATTTCACTAGTTGCTGATCCTCATTGGATTTCTTATAGCTTTACCAAATGTTCTTAAGTCACCACCAAAAGACAAAACGTCCATAGCATTTATGGTATTGGAAGATGAACACGGCCACAAGCGAATGAAAGCTCAAAACTCTCGGTTCTTTTATCAGTTGTAATATATTTAAAACTGCCAGGTGGCCGGAATGACGGTAATTTGTTCCAAGCCACTACAGTTTTGATTGTATATCCATTGGATGGTCTACTTACTCACTAGGAAGGAACTTCTAGTTGTAGAATCTCTAAATAGTCATTCACCGATAGTTCTACTGATGCTACAACGGTAAGAGTGAATTCTTCTTTCTTAAGAGGCCAAAACAGTTGCTGAACACATGCATGTCACCTCCAGGAGTTTTCTCTCCTGTAATTGTTGAAGTCAGGGCGTTGACAAAGTTATTGAGATAGTTCACTGAAGTCCTTCTCCATAGAACTCTTTG